TTCACTTGGAAATGTTTGTTTTTATGAGCAGGAAAAAAAAATAAAAACCTTTTTCTGTAAAGTAGCTTCTATAAAAGCCTCAGAGGCGACACACACACACACACACACACACACACACACACACACACACACACACACACACACACACACACACACACACACACACACACACCACCGTGGTTCTACCGTTTCAGCTCCGTCACACTCTAAATGTGATGAATTATTTACTTTGATGTATTTTAACTGCGGCTCTAACGTCTGTTTCTGCTGCAGCACATGATGGAAACACTGCAGGACCAGAACCTGGACCAGAACCTGGACTCAGCACTGGTTCACTCACTCATGCTGCAGATGAACAGCAGAAAACCAACCAACAGGTTCTCATGGCAGCAGAACGTGTTCTGATAAATGATCCGGATCAAGGAGCGACGATAAACTCCTCAGAACCGCCTTTTAGAACCACCGGGTTCTTCTCAATTTCCTGAGAGTCAGGAGACGATGTTTCACCTCAAACTGATCAGAGGTCAGGTTTGGTTCTGAAGGTTTGAACCGTTTTTACCTTCAGAACAAACTTCATTTAAATTCTGTCACCTCCGTACTGCCCATTTAGATCCACACATATTTGTCCTAATTATTGCTATTGTTGTTGTTATTATATTTATTATTATTATATTTATTTATTATATTTATTACTATTAACAATGATATTTATAATAATAATAATAATAATAACAATCATAATAATAACCATCATAATAATGATAATAACTGACTGTGGTAATGTTTCCTTCTTGCATTCAGAAACGTTCTCGTCGTAACCTTCAGGCTGTTTCTGTTTTTAACGTCTGGACCGAGGCGTTCGAGTGCGACTCGTCGTGTCGACTCGGAGAGAAAACGCTGAGTGTGTTGAAGCCGGCGGCGGCGGCGAGACGAAGCCGCTGCTGCTTGGTGGCGTCCTGAGCGCTGGACGGAGGCGTGGAGCCGCCGTCAGTCTCTGATCGGCTGCTTCAGGCTTTAAAGTCCGTTTATTAAAATGAAGGAATTTCATTTGTGTTTCCTGCATTTAAGGAGAAGCTTCTTCTTCCACGTTTAAATGTAGAAACACTCAGACTTGACCGTTAGAAGGTTTTTCTGGTCGGTGTCCAGCCTGTCGTCAGGATTCAGACTCGTTACAGTAACGAGTCAGACGTCTGCCTCATACATCAGCGTCATGCTAATGAAGGGAATAACCGCTGAAGGTTCTGATCCATCTGGTTCTGCTTTGACTCGTGTTTCGATTTATTCTCTCCATGAAGACAAATCACAGAAACTCACATTCTGATTATTTCTCAGGAACAAAAACTAAATCCAGTGTTTTAAACGGACAGACAGACAGTCTGCTGGTTTCCTCATGAGGAACGTTAAAAAAACACTCTGCTGTTCATTTAATGAATATCAGAGGTTTTCCTGAATCGTTTCATGTCCCTCCATCAGCTGCTTTAACCTCTGACAGCCAATGATCTGATAAATGATCTGATAAATGATCTGATCAATGATCTGATAAATAATCTGATAAATAATTTATGAATCAATGATGGCAGCAGAAGACGACGTGAGGAAGTCTTCACTGAGCTTGTTCTGATCTCGTCAGGACGGTCTGGCGGTCTGACGGTCTGACGGTCTGACAGTCTGGGGGTCTGACGGTCCTGGGTTAGGGTTAGCTTCCTGTCAGACCTGAACGTTTCACCAGAAGCTCCACAGACAGACGTTTAGCTCTTCGCTGGACTTTTCTACCAAACCCGACTCATCCTGACAGCGTGAGCAGCGCGTCACTGCCTCGGGCCTGTTGTCACCAGAAACCCGTTTCCACCGTCCAGAACCGACCATGAGCACAGAACCACGAGCCTTCTGACAAACATCCCTGAAGGAAGCGAAAACCCTCTGAGCTGAGAGGTCAGAGGGTTTTCGCTTCCTCAGCTGCAGGTAAACCGTGTTCAGGTGTGACAGGCCTCGTGGTGCGTTCACTGACCTCCACCGCCTTGTAGAAGATGCTGCTGCCGATTTGGACCACCTCCAGGTTCTGCTCCTGCTCGTTCCTCGCACACTTGATGTAGGTCATCCAGCTCCTCTGGTCCTCCTGACTGGCGTCAATGAAATACCTGACGGAGCCGTCCTCGTTGAACACCTGGGGAGCACAGCAGCCAATCACGTCACAGCCTGCTCAGTTAGCTTTGTTGGCTAATCCGATCATCACAAAACAGCCCAATAAACACTCTTCTCTAGTTTAAACACCAACACAGGGACCAATCACATCACAGCTAGCTCAGCTTTTAACGCGCTAACTTAGTTAGTTTGATGGTTTAAACCTCCTGCTAACTGCTAACTGGTAAAAAGACAGCATATCTCACTAGTTAGTCAGTCATTTACTAGCTCTGTTAAAAGTTAGCAGATACCCACTGGTCACTAGTCACTGGTAGTTAGTTAGATAGTTAGCTACAGTAGCTAATTAGCACTAACAGACTGCTGGTTAGTTAGTTAATTCAGAACCTGACTGAAGGGAAGCTAGCAGTTTAATCGCAGGCTAAAATTCTGCGGGTCAATCAGTCAGGTTGCTTAGTTAGTTAGTTAGTTAGTTAGTTAGTTAGTTAGTTAGTTAGTTAGTTAGTTAGTCCACTAGTAAAGAGATAGAAAGTTTGTTTGTTGTAAGCATTTGGTTAGTTAGCTATAGTAGGTAGTTAGAGCTGGCTAATCACTTAGTCAGCATTTAGTCATTTATTTTTGCTAACTGGTTGGACAGCAAAGTTATTGTTTTAAAATTGAGTCGACCAATCAGTCGGGTGTCTTGGCTAGTTAGTTAGCAACCTGAGACCATTCAGACAGTTTATAAAGTCAGTTACCAAGTTAACAGTCAGCAAGCTAGTTGGCTAGCTTGTCGGCAAGCTAGGTCACTAGCAAACAGCAATCGTGCTAGTTTGTTGAGTCACTGGCTAGTTGCTACAGCAGTTCATTAGAACCACATCAGTTAGCTTATTTAGATAACTAGTTTTCGTTAGCTGGTCGGGTGAGTCGCTACTAGCCGGTTATAGGAGTGGAACAGCTGGTAGTTAGCTGGTTAGAGCTACATCACCCGGTCAGCTAATTAGTGAACTAATGAACCAGCTGGATGGTTTATGGAGGTTAACTGATCAATAAATGTAAATATGTGTCTTCAGTCAGCAGCTGTTCTGATAACCTGCTAACTAGTCTGACTAGTTAGTCAACAGCTTTCTGGTTTCTGTCTTCATCTCTGGACCCAGTGAGCCGCTGGCGGAACCTCTGATCCTCACGTTCCGCCGTTTTCTGATCGTTCAGAACCGAGCCGCTGATTATTGATCAACAGGGAAACACTGGTTGCCCAGTTGCGGTGATGAAGTTGCCTCCTCACCTCCCACATCAGGTTGTTGTTCTTGTACAGGTCGATGTGTTCCGGGGAGATGAGGCGTCCCGTGAACGGACCCATTTCTGTTCCGGCTTTGATCCACGTCTTGGAGAAGATCCCCAAACCTTCCCCTGGACACAGATCGATACCATCAGCTATTGATCGACGGCCACAACATTCAGAGCAGCAGCAGCGGATCCGTGAAGCTCACCTGGGACGGAGCTCTGCGCGATGATCACCTCGCTGGGCAGAACCAGGCTGGACAGCTTCTGGACCTCTGCACCGAACACAGTCACACATCTTAAACTCAGTTCTTCTGCTCCTAACGGAACTAATTTGTTTTTGTTTTTCTTTCCCACGGGCCGTGAAGGCAGCGGGACAAACGTCTTGTTCTGCCTCGGCGGCCGCTTTATGTGGACTCGGAACACGGAACACAGAACTCTAAATTCATGAGCGCAGGAAGAAACCCCGAACAAGAGAAACGGGACCAAACAGAAGAAGCGACGGGCCGTCCGCCTCCTTTATGTCGGCGCCGGTTTCACGCTCCGGTCCGGACCGTGAAACCGCTCTGACGTTAAGCAGACAAGAGACTTAAAGGCTGGAAGATAATCCGAGTTAAAAACCGGCGCAGAAGAAAAGCGCAGACTCGCCTCACGCGAGCCACATTCCTGCGCAGCAGAAATAATTCGGTAGAAACGAACCGGAAGCGCCGAGACTCCGAACCGAACCCTGGACACGTTGTCTGAAATTATTCTGAACGAATTTTACCAAAATCAGAAACGAATTTAACGTCAAAGTTCCGTTAAAATTAAAAGCGGCTGCTGCGGGACGGCGGGCCGCGGAGGGCCGAACTCCGGCAGAACTGCTGAAAACAAGCAGAACCACGGGCGGATATGTCAGGAATTAATTATCGATCAGCAATAGGTCCGTTAGCTAGCTGATAAATATCTGATTGGAGTTTAATAACTCCGTTGATCAGCGGATCGAACAGTCTGATCAGGTCCTGATGAGGATTAATTAACAATAATTAATAGAAAATAATTACATTTAAACACGTTTTTTTGTTGAAACGTTATTTTTTTTTTCGCAGCAGATTAAACATTAAATTCACCTGATTTCTGCTGTTGGTAAAAAAAATAAACCGTCTGAGTTTGATTTTTATTTTTATTTTTATTTTTATTTTTATTTTTATTTTTATTTAGATTTAGATTTTTATTTCTTTTCTTTTTTTTGTTTTATCGCCTTCAGAGAACAAAACGAGCGGATTTCATTTCATTAATTATCTTTCGATGTAATAATTTCATTAAATGATTATTTAAACCTCCGGGAAACAAACTTCACCGAATCCATCGATAACTGGACCGGTACCAAACGAACCGATATCTGATCAGAAACAGGAGCTCAGTGTTCAGTGCGTGACGCGGATCGATCACTGTGACCGATGATCAATCAGGCTTTAAACATACATGAAGGAAACCGCGTCAATTAAAACATCAAAAATCAAAACAACAAACAATGAATGAAACTGACAGAAAAGTTACATCTGATCGATCAGTGATCGATCACACTGATCGGTAAATGTCTGACCTCCGGAGAAGGACTGCGCGAGCACCTCGGCGGTGAACGCGGTCTTGGGGCTCGCGCTCGGAGCCGTCCGGTCCTCGTGCTGCAGGTGATGCTGCAGGTGCGCGTGCTGCTGGTGCTGCTGCTCGCCGAGCACGTGCCGCCAGCGGCCGTACAGGAAGCTGTGCAGGATGTCGGAGGTGATGATGTCCGACAGGCTCAGCTGCTGCTGCGGCTTCACGGCGGCCTTCAGGCCCAGAGACGGTCCGGGCAGAACCGAGCCCATGATGGCGGGGACGAGCGACCGGCAGGAGGAAAGTCCGGCAGAGTTCGGAAACAGGCGGTGAGCTGCAGCTCCGGGAGGTTCTGGACGGTTCCGAAGTGGAGTCTGAGCTGATCAGAGGCTCGGAGGAGCTGCGGCTCCGTCCGGGGCGAGACGCCGAATATATACCGGGCCTGACCCTCCTACCGGGGGGGCACGCGCTGCCATTGGCTCCGGTTACAGCTCAGACTCGTGACATGAAGCAGACTGACAACACACACACACACACACACACACACACACACACACACAGACCTGGATCCTCCTCCTGAGGTTCGGGTCCAATAGAACCGGTCCACAGCGTCACACCGTGAAGTCCAAACCAGCCGCAGGTGGTCAGTGTTCTGGCTGAAGGTCGGGACCAGAGCCTGACACCAGGAGGCCTTCTCTGACACCAGAACACAAGCGGCCAGAACCAGAGCCGCTGCCTCAGTCAGGACTTTATGGTCCAACACAAGCATCATCATCATCATCATCATCATCATCATCATCATCATCATCATCATCATCATCATCATCATCATCATCATCATCATCATCATCATCATCACCATCATCATCATCATCACCACATGGAGGACAGATGCAGCCAAACACACAGAAAACCTGCAGAACACAGACGGCGGTTCTGCAAACTCTGGAGATACCTGAGAACGAGTCCAGAACCAGGAGCTCCACAACCCCTGAGCAGAACCTGAAGACGAGCAGAACAGAGGAGTTGGTAACACGTCTGAGACACAAAACTACACAAAACTACACAAAACTACACACAGAGACAGAAACGATCACAACTAAAGTAAATAACGACCACAAAGAAAAAGAGCGCAGCAACACACACACACACACACACACACACACACATACAGGCTGAGGGTGTGTGTGTGTGTGTGTGTGTGTGTGTGTGTGTGTGTGTTGGTGCAGATTTTAAAAAGCTGAACTGAGGCAGATGAAGATGAAGAGCAGCAGCAGTTTGACTGACAGCAAACTGATTAGAGGAAGAATCACCATGGCAACAGGTGCCGTCTTCGTCCTCCATCATCATCCTCCTCCTACACACACACACACACACACACACACACACACACACACACACACACACACACACATCAGAATTAATTCCATTTGATTTGATGAAGCTGCAGGAAAAATATATTTTTAAATGTTGAGCTCAAAATATCAAAATAAAACAGATTAATAATAAACATCATAAAGTCCATAATATGATGTTTATTAATATTATTAATAGACATAATAATAAAAACAACAATAAACAAAATAACAATAATAATAAAAACATAATTTACGTAACAATAATAATAATTTTATTATTGTTATTATTATTATTATTATTAGAATCAGAATTCAAACACTGGAGCACAAGCAGTCGGAACCTTGATCAGAACCTTAATGAGAACCTTTGAGGAGGAACTGAATCGGAACCATTCTGTGATTTTCAGGACCGGTTCCGAAGGCTGCAGATGTTTTATTTGAATGTGTTGGACTGTTCGGAGCCGGTCCGCAGCTGATCTTTAATGATCACTTTTATATTTCATTGTAATTAATTAACTATAATTATCGTTCACTCTCCTCCGGCCGCGGCGGCTCCCGGCGGCTCGCTGCTCTCCTCCGGCGGCCTCGTGGCGGCCCTGCCCCGCTCAGCGCCCCGGGGCTCCGCGCCGCGGCCGGAGGCGGCGGAGAGAACGGAACCGGGCCAACGGAACCGGGCCAACGGCTGATCATCTGTAAATGTGTGTTGAATGGACGGGACTGAATGAAGCAGGATTTTCTTTCTCTTTGTGGCAGCAGCAGAGTTTGGCTGCAGCCGCCACGCACACGCGAAGCTCCTGATGGAGGCGCGTCCTCATTGAGTGGAGGACACGCTTAATGGGCTTTGGACAACAAAAAGCCTCCCAGAGCCCCGGTTCCGCCGCTCCGGGCCGCGCTGGGCGGCCAATAAGAAGCACTCTATGCAGAAAGACGACGTGGAGTCAGCGGCAGGTGACTGGCACGCGTAAAGACAAGAGCACAAGAGGAGCGGCGCGGGGAGGCGGAGGGAGGCGCGGGGAGGCGGAGGCCGCGAGGAGGTGAAAGGAGGCCGGAGGAGGAGGTGCTGGGAACGGGCCCAAATGGCGCTCTGATATTGTTCCGCTAACGTGATTAGCGGCGCTGCGGCCTCGTTAGTATTCATGCGGCGCTCAGACGCTGCGCCAATAATCCGCATTTAAAAAGCTTTTAATGCGCAGCGGCAGCGGCGGTACCGTCAGCTGCACCAGAACCGCCTTCAGGGCCCATTCCCACAGCCACAGGCCCGCAGCACCGGCACCCCGCTGCAGAACCGAACCCGAGACCAGTATTTAAATATAAAACATCACGTCACACAAAAGACCCATAAGAACATTCTGACGGTCAGAACCGGGCCGAAACGAACCACCCGCAGCTCTGCGGCTGTTGGAGGTGAAGTGGAAGGATTTCAGGATTTAAGTCAACAGCCGGACGTTTAGTTATGAAAAACACAGAACCGAACCGAACAGAACAGGACAGGACAGAACCGAACCAGCAGACAGCAGAACCACATGAACATAAAAACGTTTTCGTTATTTTCCGGCCTGCAGCTCGGTCCGGACGTTCTGCGTCTGTCTGGGTTTATTTGAGTCTCTCTGCAGTTTGTTGGATCCGTCCCGATGTGCGGTTCTGGTTCTGTGTGTTCTGCAGAAACTGTGCGTCTGTTGCAGCACTTTGTGTTCATTTTGTTCTTTTTGATCGTAGGTGTTCCAGGTTCTGGTTCCTCTGCTGATGGTTCTGCCCAGCTTTTACATAAAACGTTTCTTTGTGGTTCTGTTGGGTTCTGGGCAATTGTATCATTTTGTAACAATTTCATTCATTTGCGTCTCTTTCTGGTGTTCTGGTGGACCTGCTGGGTGGTGTTCTG